AAGTTAGAGGGTTTACCTCCTCGTCTTTTCCACTGGGGGGGGGAGCGCTTTCAATTCTTTTTCTTCGCATTTGACAACTCACAGTTTAGCCGATCTTTTCTTTTTTCATTTCATCAGTTGTTCGCTTTATCACTCGGTGACGTCTGGTGGCTCCGCTAAACCCCATATGGGGTCGCTCACACAGCAAGGTCCATTGGGGCAGGGCATGGCGAGAGTCTCGATCTCCGACCGCTCGGCCGGGAAAGAGACTCCCCCCTAGTACGCCCTAATGCACCCCGGATCCGAGCCCCTCCCTTCTGAGGGGCTCGTTTGGGTCTCCGCTCACACGGATTCCCTCCTCCACTGCGGGCGGGTGAGGCGCCCTCGGGAGCGACCCAAGGATGCGTCCGCCATTCGCGGGAGCCAAACCGGAAGCCCAAACGTGGTAAACTTCTCTATCTGGTGGAATGGAAAGACTTCGGACCCCAGCACCCAGACAGTGGGTGTCTGCAGAGGATGGCCACTGAACTCTGAAGAGGCCAGGACGTCAGGCAAACAAAAGCAGATAACAGAAGAGCATAAGGAGAGCCCAGCTAGTCTGGCACGATCTGGCCCAGCAACACCTGGCTTCCAGCAGTAGGCAGACAGATGCTTCTTTGAAGACTCTTCCAAAGGCAGGAAGGGAAAACCCTGACTTCTTGTTTAGCTCCAGCAAACGGTATTCAGACTAATGCTGCATATTTCACTGCATCTCATTGGGCAAGTGCACAAAAGTTCATGCTACACAAAATATGTCAGTTTTGATGTCCTATTTTGCTTTAGTTTTGTTCTAATGGTCTCTGGCCACTCCAGTTAGACTTATGGAACAAAAGAGAGATGCATCACTCTTCATTGTCTCCCATGTGCCCAAAGCTGGGAATGTTAGTTGGACATTACAGGGGAAAATACTTTCTTTTGTCTGTCTGAAAGAATTGCTAGTAACTCTGTTAAAAATTTTGAATTGGTGCATTCGTAGGCCTTGGTGTCATGGTCTTTTTTCAGACTGCGAATTTCAGACCCAAGTTCCCACCATTCAGGGACAGGAGCAATGGGCAGAAACATTAATTAAGGATTTCCAGCTCTTCTACATTCTTTTTTCTTTCCTCTCCAGCTTGCACAAAAATATGGCAAAATCTTCAGCATGCAGTTTGGAGGCATGTGGATTGTGATTGTAAATGGCTTGCCTCTGGTGAAGGAAGCGCTTGTTCATCAAGGAGAAAACTTTGTAGATCGCCCAAGATTTCCTCTCACCTCGGAGATTTTTGGGACATTTGGTGAGCTTCATTTATTGTGTTACCTACATTTCTCAAATCTGAGATAAATAATATGTGAAAACCCTTACACTGATTCAGAATATGAGACGTTTGTGAGCACTGCTGAGGTCAGGGGTGCACTGATAGTGTATTGACTGAGAGTCAAAGTGCATGATCCTTTTTTGGCAAGTGAGGCCTGGAATCCCAGACTTTTAAATACAAAATAACTATAAAAAATTTGATGAAAATCAGATGAAACTTTTCAATGAAAGTATATCACCATGTGAAATTATTGAAGCAACGAAGAGACAAAAAAAGAAGAAATCACCAGGACCTGATGGTTTACCAGTGGAAATATACCAAACATTTGAAGAAGAGATCTTTACACCATTTAAATAATTAGTACAAAATATAATGAAAGAAGGGAAGATACCAACATCATGGAATGAAGCCCTTATTACATTAATACATAAATCAAGGATGGACACAGGATATTAAAAAATATTGACCTATTTCTTTATTAAATGCTGATTATAACATTTTTGTGAATATACTAGCAGCAAGATTTTAAAAAGTATTAGCACAAATTATACATCAAGATCAAGTGGGTTTTCTTCCTAGAAGACAAATACAAAATAATATAAGAACTATTATTAACATACTAGAATATTATGAAATACATTCAGAGAACCAATTAGCACTGGTATTCATAGATGCGGAAAAGGCATTTGATAATGTGTCATGGGAATATATGATTCAGCAATTGAGAGTATGGGACTGTGGTAGCAATTTCTTCTCGATGATATTGGCAATATATAAGGAACAACAAGCTAAAATCATAATTAATGGAGAACTGACAGGAAAAATAACAATTCAAAAGGGAACCAGACAAGGATGCCCCTTATAACCATTACTGTTTATATTTGTTTTAGAAACGTTAAATTATTTAGTAAGAGAAAATAAACAAATAAAAGGCTTGAGAGTTAAAGATGAAGAGTTCAAGCTTCAGGCATTTGTGGATGACCTAGTCTTTATTCTGGAAGATCCAGAGATACCAATAGCACCTTTGTTAGACACAATACAAAACTACGGAGAAATAGCGGGATTTAAACTAAATACAAAAAACCCAAAGATAATGACAAAGAATTGTACTCAGAAAGAGAAAGATAAAATCTCCAAGATTGCAAAGTTGGAAATTACTAACAAAGTTGTCTATTTAGGTATTCAGATGACCAACAGAAACCTTGGATTAATGGAAAATATAAAAAAATATTGGAAGAAATCAAAAGAGATCTTCTAAAATGGAAAGATATACAATTATCGCTATTAGGGAGAATAGCTACTATAAAATTAACATTTTACCACGTTTTCTCTTTCTCGCTCAAAATATACCAATATTAAAGAAAAAGGTTTTTTTTTTGTGGACTTGGACAAAATGGTGAGACAATTCATATGGTATCCCAAAAAACCAAGAATTAGAAGGAAATATTTACAAGAAAAAAAAGAAAGAGGAGGTATGGGACTTCCTAACTGGGAACTCTATTATC